CCTGTTTACTAGCTCTCAGCATCATTAAAAGAAAAACACATAAAATGAAGTAACACTTTAAAGACTTTTAAAATTAAAACCAGCAAGACATACTGGAAACCATTTTTTAAATGAAATACAGCACTAGGTCACTCACACTCAGAGTGAGCAAAATAACGGACACTCCCTAAACCTGTGGACTTACAATTGTACTAGAACAGCATTTCCCATATTTGAAGAAGAACAAACCAAACATTTAAAACTGTAACCTGGATTTCTTACTGTTTGTGTGAAGCATTTTCACTTTCACTGCAAGAAATTACTGCCCTAGTTTCTTGGAAACTTGGACCATATACCAAGGACTGCTGAGAGAACTTGTAATAAAAGGAGGACACGTTCCAGAAAGTTATTAGATGTCCTGGGGTGTGCCACTCAGCCTGTTGTTTGGAGAGCATCAGATCCTTAAAGAGCGGAAATTTGGATCATGATCCTGTAACTGAATACAATGCCCTTCCACTGCAGGGTAGAAGGCAGCCTGGAGCTGGGAAGAAACTTGCCTTGAAACATCAGATCCCAACCACTGACAAGATGCCAGGCTAGAAGAATTACTAGTCTGATAACGCAGTAGGACAATGTCCTATGTTCTGCACCCAGAAGTTGGTTTCTTTTTAAAATCTATTAGCAACAGATTCCCATACAGTTTGGCCAGAACTGTCTGGTCTTAAAGTCTGTTTTGTTTGCCTTGAAACATCTTGCTGTTTCTCACCCGTCAATGAATTCTCAAGAGTCTCACTCCTTTTACAATTTATATGAATAGCAGAGGTTAGGGAAGTGCAGCATGGCCTGGAGAAGCCCACATGGCTTAGTCACAGAGGTATTTTGGTACTTGGCTCCCACCGGGGTCAGTGGAGGTTTGCAAGGCTACATCTATATCCTCTTTGCTAGCCATGCCCACACACCTCCTTGAGCTCAGCATGCCACGTGGCACAGCCAGGCACATCCAAGGTGGCCTGCAGGGCTCACACGCTCCCTGATTAGATTACGCTCACTGAGCAAGGCACACCTCCCAGCTCTCCAACATTACCTCTCCTGGGAAAGGGCTTGTTCCAATATTGAGCCAGACTGCAAGCAAGTGCAAGGATGGTCCAAACTGCCAGGAAGATCTGGCTCAAAGATGAATTCAAGCCGCAAGCTAAAAGGTAAGCCTGGATGTACTTAAATACCTGGGAGGAAGGTAGCCTGTTTGCTCTTCTGCTACTGCTACTCAAAGATGTGCACGAATGTAACGCAGCACTTTTTATCTCTACGCTGTAACTTCCACCATGATTTATAAAGACTAGAGGAATTTTTTTTAAAGGAAACAACCTGAAGCCAAACCAAGCAACCACTATCCCTCCCCATAATGGCAATATTTTTCCTCCAGATAACTTGTTGCTTGTCTTCCCCTACACACTTAAATCCTCCAACAAATAATACTTCTGACACCAAACTAATGTCTCTGGTGGCATCCTGGGCTCTCCTCATGAGGGACCAGAAACAATGAGTGGTTCATGCCTGCTTTGCAAAGCTTCTGAGTAAACAATGCTACCTCTGCAGAGGCAGGCCAGGCTGAACAGAAGGGAGCTGTGTTTTCAGCTCAGGTGGAGACAAAACTGTCGGGGACAGAATTTGTTGATAATAAAACACAGTGAAGTGTAAACAAATGCACACCCTGGAAGTTCATGAAACCCCAAACAAACTTATCAAAAAGAGAAAGAAAAAAAATCCCTTTAGAAGCAATTTTACCCAGTTGCTGCCAGGTAATTTTAAAGCACTTGTACAGAGTCAGTCAGTCCTCCATGCAAATTTAAATAGCCTTATGCAGTTTATGTCTCATATAACACTGTCCATAAACAAAATTACACTGAATATAGAGAAGTTGTATCCAAAAGGCATGTTACCACCACATAGCACTTTGGTCCCAGAAAAACTTCCCTTGCAGATCTATGTGTCATATGCAGTAACTGTAGTTGCTTATTGTAAACAAAATTACAGTCACTTTAAGTACAATCACACCCCTCTCATTCAGGCAGGCAATTTCCACTGCGCCCATTATGAATTTACCAGGGTGGTGGTGTATCTAGCAGCAGCCTCTACGTGGCATATACAAAAAATAACCCAACACCTTTGAAGAGTGAGGTGCAGAATTTGCTATGTGTGTGTTACTGACCTCTATCCAGGGACCTTTCAACCCTGAATAGTGGAGTCCTATTAACAAAGGCAGAATCAACATTTTTCATTAGCTTCAAAACCTTCCGACTGGCATCACAGAGGCTTTTTGTGAACAAGACAGAGAAAAGGAGGACACATTACTTTGTTGGCCTCTCAAATTACTGCTCAGCTGATAATTTATTTCTAAGCATATCCATAGTTTCTCTCAAGTATTTGGAAAATGAAGTTTCTCAAACATTAATATAAAAAATAGTCTCAGTTTTCAAACTCTATACTCACAATCCAAAACACCTAAGAGTTGAACATGGAAAAATGTATGTATAGTTCTGCATTGCAATAGGCCCGAGTAAGAAACAAACAAGTACATAAACTTCAGCTTGTTCCTTTGAGTCCAGTTCTGCAAGATGCATTTTGTTTTTCATTAATCTTGATCTGCTGGAGCAGTTGTAGCCGTACCTACCAACCACCTTCAGCTGACTCGTAAGGAGTGATAAAGTTTTGACCTCAACTAATGGTAAAGCCAGTGAGGTTTTAGGGTTGTTGTTCCCCACTTGCCGCCCCTCCAAAAAATAGTCTGCACTCAACGCTTTTCAAAAGCCGCTCTGCATCTCAGAGAATCAGATCTGCTCCAACATGAAACTCAGCACTGCTGTAAAATAAACAGAACTCAACTGCTGGAGCATTCTGTGTTATCCACATATGCAAATGAATGTGCTTAGCACTTCAGTGTTAACAACTTGGCCATTGATATTACCTGCTGGAAAAAAGACAGCATTTCAGAGGAAAAAGAAAACCTGCCTACCCCGGAAAACCACTAGGTGAGTTTTTATGGCTGTTTTCCACTACTGCCCTTTTGTGAACCAGAGGACATTTTTCCATTAATTGTGTTTATCAACTCTGAGAGGAGGTGGATGAATCTAAGCACAAGTCAGAGATTTTCTGTGCTTTCTTTGTCTAGCATGGAGATCTATGCAACAGGGGCCATCAAGTGTCTATAATACTTTACGTCCTATGTAGTTTGAGAGTTAAAGCAACACTCGTACTCTGCCTGCTTTGTGTTAGGCCTGTGGACACCCTGAAGTTACCGAGCAGTAAACTGTAACTTCCACATGAATATGACTATATTTTAAACTGGGGGACGTCTTCTCCTACACAAACATCCTGATTCCAGTTTTAACTCTATTATGCAAAGGTGTTACCTGAACTTGTGCGTGGGAGCCCTTTCTGCAAACATCTGACAAAGCATTACTGATCTTGGTGAGTCTCATGGCAACTACATAACACGAGGAAATGGCCTTGGCTCTTCAGTTGCCACCACATACCAAGAGGCACAATTCAAGGTCTCAGCAGAAGCGTAAAGCTTTCTTCTGGTCCTATGGAAATGATTGGTGGCTTTACAACTCTTTATTCTAGGGGAGGGTAGTGTCACCATTGGAGCTGCTCTACCTTTCAGGCTGTGTTCCACTTGTTTGTTTCTCAAGGTGAAACTCCAAAACAAAAGCCTTACCTCCTCCCTTTTTGTACTTGTTAAAGCATTTGCTTTTGAAGTCTGCAAATACACTTCTGCTTTTTGTGCGTTTCTGTCTCAGCGGCAGCCAAATTCCAATGTAAACTGCATTTCTGGAAAAGTTGTTGCTGTTGTCCTAACAACTGTGTCACACGAGGGGATGTTACTGAAAAGCCAACCCCCAGTGAAGACCTGAGCGTTTCCTGGTCACTGTTACTTTTGAGAGGAAGAACAACAAACAGCACTAGCTTCATAATTCACTGGCATAATTAACTAATGTGTTTTTATTTAGTGGAGGGCTTCCTGATCTCTCTTGCCTAGCCAGCACTTCATATTCACTGAAGACCAGCACAAATTCCATCAAGGCATAACCAGCCATTGCTCAGAAGTGAAGAACATAAAAAAGCAACAAAGACAAAAGATGATTGTCCACAGCCACACATAAAGAGAAAGTTACTTCTGATCTGTTCACATTCTCATGGTTTCTTCTATGAATGAAGAAACAAAGTTCTTCATTCCAGTGGAAAAAATGGATTTTTCATTCCACAAATGTTAAAGAGCAGAATTAAGAAAAAAAACATAGGAAGAAGGAATAGGACTAATTGCTGCAGATAAAGTTGCTGATCAGATTCTGAGAGGTGAGCATGGATGCTGCCTTGGGCACTGGCACAGCGTTTTTCAACTGCCACAGGTCAATCAGAAGTTGATGAAATACTTTCTCTCCAGTCTCTGGTGGCCAAACACAGATCTCACTCCACACATGACTGCTCCAGGCAGTGAGGCTCTGCACATATGGCGAACATTTTCTCTCCTAGTGCAGATCTTTTGAACACAGATATATCCCAACTCATTCACAAAAGCGTAATTTAAAACAAGCCAGTGGCAGGCTAGTTCAGCAAGCAATATGTAAACAAGACATAGTCCTGTGCTGAGCCCTACATGCTGTCTCCAAAGGCCATTTACTCTGAGACAGAAGGCAGAGAGCAAGAGCTTCTTCTCGAAGTGGCAAAGTCACTTTAGAATAAACTACTGGAGACATTGGGACTATATCCATCTCTCATATCAGTCCTGGGCTGCTGCTGAGACCTTGAAATGAAATAACAAGGCCCTTGTCTTAGCCAGCTTTAGAGGTGACAACAGATGCATCCCATCAGATAATCCCTGAATCACCATGCAAGACGTAAGCCGTGCAATGTCAATAACCTCACTCTCTTCTCAGTAGGTCCCCAGTAAAGCTCATTACAGGAAGCTGGCTCGGTCCTTTAACAATGTGGCAGGTGATTCTTGAGGAAAGGAACTGTTCTCACTTCCTGTAGGACTGGCTGCCTGCAGAAAAACAGCAAGAAAAGGGTCTGTCAGCTGAAAGCAGGATTTATTACAAGACAGGAGCTGCCTGAGGGCAACACTTGTTGAACCTGTACAGTGACAAACACACCACAAAGAACATGCACAAAGCACCTTAGCCACTGATGTTGCAACTTAAAAATGCAGAATGTATTAATGGCAACAACTTGTCAGGGGACACTGAAGGAACTTGTGGAGGAGCACAAGTCACCAGGGCCCAGTCGCACTCCTGACAAAAATCATTCCTCATTCTTCTGGTAGAGATTTTTGTACTACTCTAGCTCCACTGTGCCTTAGACAGAACGTGGTACACTGCAAACAGCTTAAGCATGCCTATGCAGAGGAGCTTGGAAGAGATGCAGAGTAAGGCACAGGATAGATTAAACCATTCAGCCGTGTCCACACAGAGCAGATACGCGCAGCTGAAAAAAATCTACATTTGGAGGTCCACCCTATGTTCTAGCCACGCTGCCAGTGTCATCCCTGTACCAGCTAGGAAGTGGCACCCACAGAAAAGCCCAGCATGGCTGGTTTTATCTGGAGGAGCTTGGTTCTGCTTTAAGGTACAGCTTTAGACCTCAGCTAAGAGCAGCGGGCTAAATCTCAGGCAGGAATCTGGCCCCAGGCCTGTAGCTGCACTAAGTACCTGCGCTTCCTCTGCATTCCTCAGGCATTCCACACACTCCATGCTCCACAAGAGGAACAGTCCAGCTAGTTCAGCTAGGTTTGTGTAAAAGCAACTTACTTCCAGAAAATACACCTATAATAAATTTGAAAAGCAAGCTAAAAATGTGTCTCTAAATTAAGTGAGCACATCAAGTTAAGTACCATCAGAAACTCATCTTTTTCTCATCATGCCCATCAGCTACAAAAACTTGTATTTCTCCAGAAATACCAAGAAATCCACAAACTAAAGACAGTCTTCCACTGGGATAGAGTCCCTTGATATGTAAAAACTCACATACCTATGCAGCAGGCAAATGGGAGGCAGCAATTGCTGAAATCTGCTCATTGCTGATATCTGTGTATCTGATACCATTTTTGACTTATAGATAAGTCAGATACAAAATTAAAGGAACAGTAGCATAAAGCTTTACTAGAGAAACATTAGGGGCTCATCTGCTTCAGATCACTTCCTGCACCTTTAAGTAACAGCTGGTAATTTGATCACCTTTGAGAACCTCAAGTTTGGACCTAGGTGCTTAAAGCCCTTTTTAGCCCTTTAAAAATCCAGTCTCTGTCACCTTCCTCTCACTTTTCCCAACCATGAAAACCTGCGTGAAAGGCCCTGCAAGATGGGCAATAACTAATAGATGCTCTGTGACAGCAGACAACAAATGCAGGATACATATACACAAAGTGAGTGGAAGATGACTTGTTTGCAAAACAATTTCTTTGCTATTTTTAGCAGAAGGATAAGAGTTTAACATTCAATTGCTGATACCAAGACTGTCTCATGGCACACGTGGACATACAGAAAACAATTACCTGGAACCCCAATAGAAAACACGGGAGAAAACGTAAATGGACACATAGTAAGATGTGACGCCCGCAATACATTCAGCTTTAGGATGCACAGACACAGCAAAGATAAGAGGTATATTGTGAGACAAATCCTATCCAATAAAAGCTAGAAGAGCCCAAGAGTCTGGACTTACGAATTACATATACTGAATCAACAGAGAAACCCAAGTGATGCAGAACTCTGATCGCGCTCTGCTTTAATGCAATTTCAAAATCAAATACATTATACACTGTGCCACTGGAAAAGGAACTTACTCCAGAGCCCTATGAGAGCAACATACGTACATCACATCTTTCATAGAACACATGCACCCAGGAGCCTAAAGCTGCCCTGGAGAAATTAGAAAATGCAGAGAAGTTTATGTGTGCACACACGCACTATGCTTTTCCCCTTCTTCAGCAGAGCTTCTCCTTTTCAATGGACTAGCGCTTTTGTAAATGAACTGAAACAGGAACCAGGGACAGGCTCTCAGGTGTTAACACCACATTTAGTCAGGGCAGAACACTGCTCCTATCACAGGAAACAGAAAGCACTGATGTCAGAGGTAAAACACAGAGCAAATGCAGCAAAAGTAAAGCCAAAAGAGCTAGTAAGTAGTATTACCTAAGCATGGGACTGTTCAAGCAAGTAGTCTCTAGGTCAAAATCTCCCTTAACCACCAAGGACAGTCCCTCCCATTGCCTCACCTGTACTCCGTGAATGAAACCACCTCATCTCACTGCACATGCAACTGTGTGGAACGACAGCGAGTGAGCAACACAGAAGACTTAGGAAGTTCTTTCCAGCTCTATTGCTCATTTACTAGGTTATTTCAATTCTCTGTGTTTCATTTTTGCTACCTGTAATAAGGAGCTAATGATATACACATACCTCACGTTTCTTGGGAAGGTTTGAAAGGTATTATGACTTACCATGTTTTTGTGAAATGTTTAAAGATAACAGCTACAGCTAAAGAACAGAGCTGATGTTACACTGTGATAAAATAACCATCACTAAACCTCTTACGATACGTTTGGAATAAGAATATACAGCACATAGCTCCTGCCATTTTCATTCATGATGGACCCAGAGGTGTATTTGAATCCAGCTAGTCCTAGCCACACGCCAGAGAAAAAGCTTACGCATTACCGAACAATGCATCTTTCTTCCCCATCTCCCCCCAAAAAAACCCACAGCTTACACACCATACATGTGTTTACTGTTGTGTGAGCATCTGAGATCGACATTTCCACTTTACTGGGCTTGTGCTGGCTGGCTTAAGGCAAGCATCCATCCTTTCTCTCTAACCTGAAGTCATGGCCCTCCTCTCTTCTGAGCCCACTGCAAACTAGTAGAGCTTAAACTTCTCCAGGCAATGACACATCCATATGGTTCTTAAATACAAGTCTCCAGCGGAATGATGACTGCCACAAGCTGCACACCATGTTTGGCTGTCTGCTTACTAGGCTGCCCCAAGCCCATCTGAACTGCCTGACGTCTGGTCTACATTCAGTTGCAGTGTAGAAACACCCAGGGATCCAAATTCAAGAACATTAAAGTTACACAGTGAAGCGAGCAAGTGTCTAAAGAAAAGGAAGAAGTCTAACGACACCTAGAGAAAGTCTAATTTGAGACTAGAAGCTTCCCCCTCAAACTTCTGAGACTTTGGGCCACTTTTCTCCACACAGTGACAGGAAAAAGCATGTCTCTCAACTGCTCACATGACAGCCTGGAAATAGGAGCAGTGTTCAGCATGGTCAGCAGGATATAATTACATGGTTGTACATCCTGCAGGTGACAAGTACAATATCATATACTCCTGGCACATTTGTAGCATACAACTTTGTTCCTGGAGAGCTACTACAGTGCTCCCTCCTTTCCCACTCCAAGGACTGACAAACAGAATGATGACTTTTTCCACTTACTCTGTCTGCTCCTTGTGGATGATCCTGAGGAGCTGGGACGGCTTGTTTGTTGGGGTCCAGACTGAGAGAACTGGGGGGCAATGGCTGGGATCTTTCCCTTTCTAGGGCTGGCACTCTGAACTTCAGGAGTGCGAGGGATCTTGGGTTTGCTGGTGAAGGCTGAGGGAAACTCGCTGTAGGAGGAGATGGAAAGGGTTAGCAATGCATGGAGAAATATGTATGCATACTAAGTCCGCAACCAAGTGAAACCTGCAGTACATGCTGTGACAGCATGACAGACTGCTCAAAATTCAGGGACACTGCAAATGGAAAGGAACATGGCACCACAGTTACTGCCCTGGGGCTTGTACTCACCACACAGCCTCTAAACCTGGCTCTATTGACCTGTCTCTCCTATTCAAACCTGGTTCTTTGGACAGCAGGATTGAACAGGTTCAGTTAAGTTCCCTGCAAACAAGTATTAGATCTTTAGCTTGTTTTCCATTGTATTTATTACACACACAGACTCAAACTGAGGTGCAAAAAACATATAGAAATGCTACAGCACAAGAAAACATCCTTTCAGGGCACAGGCACTATTATTTCTCCTAGGTATAGGTCGCAATCTTGGCAGACACAGGCAGCCTCCCTGGCTCCCAGCTGCGATAAGATCTGTAGAACTCCCTGAAGGCTTTGTCAAAAGAGCAAAAAGCTGTGATGGCATCTATAAAATAAATTCCCTAAGCACACAGGTTCCTTATTCACATTGAGAACATAAAACAGCTGCTGCTATTTCACAGTCCGCGTGTGCTGCAAGAATACCATTTTTTAAAACTCAGTCCATGACTGTGTGAGGATACACTGTCCTTCCCTGCCCCTAGCATCAATATATTCTTTCCCAGGTACAAAAATGGAGGCTACCAGGAAATAGCAAGTCTCTAAAATAATTCTGAATCTATATTCATGTTTGCTCTAGTGAGTCAATTTTCTCTTAAAAGGGCAAAACGTTAAACTTTAATAACAGCTACATGAAAAAGCTTATCGCATTTAAAAAGGAAATAAAAGCAGAGCCAAAGGCAGGAGATAGAAAAAGGTTCCATCTAAAGACAGGGGATTAAAATGGAAAGTCCCCATCTTATCAGCTCCATCAAAAGAACCTTTGTGACCATCAGAAAGGGTGATTAGCAGGATTTTCAAGACATTTAATCTCCCGTCCTCCCCTGGGAATGCTGCTGAGTCAGTGCTGATTAGCCCTTCCATACCCCTGCTTCACCTTGCAGGGAGATTTGAGCAAGTGTTTCCTTTGTATTTTGCATAGCATTAATTGTCTGTATTTTGCATATGTATATGCTGACTATTAAGGACAGAGACATGCTAACTGGTCTGCTAAGAGCCATCTCTGCAGCCCTCTACCTGTCTCTGAGTATGACAAATACTGCACTTGTCTCATTTCAAAGGAGGAGGTGGCAGATGGCAGCAGAAACATACTAGCAAAACAAAACCCCAAAAGATTGGCTAGATAAAACCCCCAGCCATGGAGTGGACCACAGACATATTTAAATATCTCTGTCCATAAAATAGTCTCATTGTTACCGCTTTTTTGTCATTTTATTCACTTTGGTTCAAGAGCTGGGTTTCCAATTCACTAGTGCTCTTCATGGTAATCTTATGTGTACTATGGTATGCTAACTAGATAAAAAAGGAGGCTCTAACGGTCTCACAGCAGTTTCTGAGCCATAAATGAGCTTTTATACCCTGGGATCTGTATTGCCATACATTAAAAAGTGTTTTTATAGCCATCAACAATCTTCACTGAGTTTCACTGCAGTAACCTAGGCAGCTAGACTATAAGCACTTTAGAGACAAAGCAAAGTAATGCAACCAGAGTCACTATACACTATACTTTACCAAAGAGAGAGATACACAATGATCACTCAGGATAGCTCACATCTTTGCAAACTCTTCAGGAAAGGACTATATGAAATAAGCTGGTAGCAAACACTGTAAAGTTGAAAAAAACCTGCCTTTTTTCTGACAGGATGCAGAGCAGATCTCTGTCTCCATGTGCCCAGGTGTCACAGAACCACCTCATCTTTTACTACATCAATAAATAGGCCAAGACCAACAGAAAATAATTAATCCTCAGAAAAACACACAAAGCTGGTATTTGGCATCGTTTAGAACTTGATGTGATGAAGAAAGAATCAGCAAAATCTACTGTGGGAAAATGTTCCGCGGTATTTGGTAAAGGAGTCATTTGTGACAAGGTATGGTAATGTGAGAGCAAGTACTTGAACAAAAAACAAAACAAAACAACCAAACAAAAAACAAACCCACAACAAACTCATGCAGAAACCTACATTTGTATTGAGAAAAAAGAAAACTGTTTACTTTGAAAAATGGAAAGAACTGTCTATTTAAAAAAGCAGACAACAGACTGACACTGGGATCGGAATAATCAACCAGGAGACATGACAGGAATTGAACATACAAAGATGAGTTAGACCATTTTCTCCAAGCGGAATACATTTGGACTTTTGGCCATTTTTATCGGATTATCAGAAAAGCAAGACCATTAGAAACCTAAGAAGGCCCTGCAGAGTTTAAGCTCTTTACTATGATGATACTGGACATAGTCCCAATAAAAAAATAAGGGCTTTTTCAGCCGGCCACAATTGTAAACTCAAGTCTATTACAAATTTATCCTTGATTAGCTAAAAAGCACAACAGATCTATATTCTTACATGATCAAAATGCAGCAGGGAATAGCAATGCAGGGGCAGCTGCCAGTCTGACATACATCAGCGAGAACAATCATTTGTTCCTGTGGATATAAACCAATTGCAATAGACATGTCACTACTAGGGCCTCACTCTTCTCTCAGACTGATTTAGCGTAATTTCACTGATCTGCTAAGGAAGAGGGGAAATAGCAGTGACTGTTTCATCACAACTCAGCCCTCCTTTTCTCATATATACCTCTTCTAGGAAGGTCTTGGTATTTGCCTAGTAGGAATAAGACATCTCTTACAGTGGTCAAAACTATGACCAAAGCACTGATTTATTTGCTTTGTTTGTTTTGCAAACAAATTAAAGCATAGTTCCAAGAATGAAAGGGCAGCTCTAGCTATTGCAACACCAACATATTGACAAAAGACAGAGGGAACCCTGTGTTCACTTGGACTGTGAAAGGCTACATTCCCATATCCGTAACTTGAGGCTGCGTTCGTAAATACAAATTACACGTTAAGGAAGCACGCAATGAAAAAATACTATATTATTCTGCAGGATACTGCACCTGTGCCTTCACTAGACACCTATCTATTACTGAGATTTAGACATACATTTATGAAGAAAAATTAAAGATTACTGGGGACACGTCTTTTTAATAATAGGTTATGACTGTAGAGAAGCAAAGCCTCTCACCAAGGTGGGGGGCAAGATGCTGCCAATTTGGCTTGTTTCTTGCAAGCCAAAGTCTGAAAAATAATCTCTCTCTCCATCACAAAGCAAGCAATTTGCCCATAAAATTCTCATGGTCTATTTGTATTTGTAGTATATGCTTAGCTACTGTTAGGACAGGCAACAGAAATAAAACCAGTCAGTGATAATTTGTTGACAACATATATAATTTCTTAGATCTCACTATGGAAACAGCACAACTGGGAAAAAAAAAACCTCGAAACAAAACAAAACACAAAACCACATCAAACTACCCAAAACCCCCAAAACCACACACAGGCATCTGTAGGCTAGAAGGAAACAAAGCTCTAAGCAGAAACTCCAGTTTTCAGAAGTGCTAGAGCTTGAACTGACACAAATAACTAAGCACTTCTGAAAACTCATACCCATAAAGAGTTGGTAAAACCTTTCCTTTAACACATCTCCACCCATTCTGTGTTTTACTTCTGGAATGTACTTGCTTTTAAAATTTCTCTACACTCACTGTTTAAAACTTGGCCCAATCAAATTAGCTATAGGAAAAAGCTGTTAATGTCTGAAGGACACATGCGGGCCCTGAAAAACTTCAGTAAACCTTGGTCCAATTGCTAATGAATTCCTAGTTCGCATCCAAGATATAACATCACAGTCCTACATATGACAAAGGCTTCACAGTGGGCTCAAGGTGCGAACAGGGGGAGAGCAAGACCTTTCATCTTCTTTTGACAGAAATTATTTCAAGAAAGAGTTGAAACCCATTGCTGGGAGAACTCAGTGTTGCCTCCCTTGCTATACCTGTCTAGTGGATAAATCAGGGACTCTGGTCAGTAGTGTTAGCAACTTGGCATGTTTAAACACTCTGAATCCACTTAAATGCTTAATTTTTCTTCCTTCTGCAATTCCTGCCCTGTTCCCACAGTCCTACCTATTTCTTTACTAACAAATGATTTTTCATGGGTTAGAGTCGAGTCATCTAAGGAAGCAATCAGGAAGTTTTATTTGCAGAAGAGTGCGTTGTGCATACATGTGAAGTTCATTAATAATGTCTTGCTTGAGATTTCTCCCATTCTGGACCAGATGCTTAGAAACTGAACAGCTGCCTCTGGCACAGCTAAGGGTATTTTGTTTGGCAAGCACCACCGCGGCTGTCTCAGACCAGACTACATCATGCATCAAATGACTTCACAGATTGTCTTTACAGCAGCATGGAATTAGCTGGTAAGTCCCCTCAGACTCCTCTTGCACTTTTGGATACTCCTCTGGATAAATCATACCTATGTGATTGCCCATTTACTTTGTCCTGGGTGAAGTCAGTAGATCGGGAAGACAAGATATTGCCATCAGCTGGGATGCTTCGGTCCACTCTATGGCCTGCTGAGAATACTTTAGATGACTTCATTTCAACTGCTATTTAAAAAAGAAACACAGTTCAGTGAGGAGTTGTCTCTACAATTTTACGAGAAACACAATCAATTCACAGTTCCTGCTGTATGAAGGAAACCTTGAGATAATGGCAGGCTACTGAGTTAGTGTGGCAGAGTGCATTACGGCTCATCAGTTGAGCCAAGCCAACTGCAAGTGTGCATACTTCCAGCCATTTGCAGTTGGAAAGTAAAACATGCTTGGATCATTTTCAAAGCAGCTACACTCTGCATTTGCAATGGAGCATGCAGACCATCAGTTAACGTATATCAGCTAATGGCTGATATCTCATTAAAGCCACAGGAACGCAACCACTTGCAGTTGTCTGTACATATCCATAGTAACAAGCTGCTACTGCGGACAAAAACCAGCGCCAGACTTCAGATCTATTACATTTGTTCAATATACCTCAGTTTCTGCCTTGCACTAATGGACAAGGAAAGGACAGTCAGTTTGCTGAGAGACACAGGGCTACCAACATGTGCACATTCAATACGAGTTTAGGGGAAATCCCTAGCTCTATTCCTCCCATGCTCAGGACACGTTGCTGTCCTGATTTGCTCTCACATCCTGATATGGATGCAGATCAGGTTACTTTCAGACAAGCATTTGGCTGCCCAGCGCATGATCCGTCTGACATTCAGCATAGTAAGTGTAGTAAGATCGCTAGGGTCCATCTTCAGTCCACAAGTTTTCTGGTCACAAGACAAAAAAGAAAAAAGAGCCAGAATTATTGGTTCTGTACCAAAGTGATAAAAAGGGAGGATGGACCCAGACAAAATCAGACTGATTCAAGAACAGCTGAATATACCCAGGCATGGAGGACATTAAGAATTGATCTCATTTTTAGAAAACAAAAGAGGATCAAGGTTTCTTGAGGCTAAACTTAGCTTCCTTGAGATATGACCTTGATATGACCTTCACTCCTGGTCTCTTACTGTTCATTCACAACTTGACTGTATGAAACTCTGAATACCAAAGTATTCACGTGATGCTGGAAAACCCATATTCTGAAGTGAGCAGGTTCCTGGTACTGCATAATGACCATCAGACCAAGATCAGAACTCAATAGACTGCACATTTATTTTACAGCAAAGATGTTTGCCGGGGCATGATGAGGGTCTCTAGAAGCAGTACAATTATTTGTACACCTTCCTGTTATGTACTGTTCCCTGCCATATCTTAGAAGGCACTAGAAGAGAAAGGATTTATCTTCCATTGTCTTAAATTAAAGCCTTTCCAATTTAAAAACTAGAAAACCCACTGCCTTTTGGAAAACAGGGGATGTCCAAAGACCCAGTCCAATTATCATTATATAGAATTAAAGTCCTGTCACTGACATGAACAACCAGGGGATCCAGCAGTGCAGTCTCTCTTTTCTTTTCTCTTCTCCTACTCCTCATTTCTAAATCCCAAAAGGTAAGAAAGACAAGCATGTATTTCAATGGCTGCTTGCAAAAATCTGAAACAAACCTCTGGCAATCCTTCAAGTAGCTCAGTGTTTTGTTTTATAGCCTGGATTATTGCTAGGAAAAATTGTCTCTGCCACACACAAAAAATATTTGTCTTTTTACATGTATAATGCATATAAACTTGCAATATGCTGTATATTCTGACCTCCATGATTTTTCTACAAGAAAAGAGTATAATCTAGTAGTTGCATTAGTATCCACCTGCATATAATTTTGACTGAAAACAGCTAACAAACTGTTTTAGACAGAGGCTACAAAGCAAAATTCTGACAATGTGAAACAGTCAAGTTGGCAGGAATTTCTTCAGCATGAAGGCTTTAAAGCAATATTTGCCATCAAAAATGAACAACATTTACTTTGCTGACTTACTTAGGCTCCCTGTTTAAACTTCCCCACAAATCTCTACAAGCAAACTGTTGGACAGCATCAGCAGCACAGAAAAGGTGACAGAGGTGAGTGAATGCATTTCACTGGCAAGATACTATCAAAATGTGGTTCAGAAGGCACGCTGTGCTCCTGGTGTTTGCATAATATCTTAGAAATTGCATCCAATTACACTATCCAATTACAGCTAATAGGAGCACCTTTGATATCTGCTTGGCTTAATTTCCTTTACGAAGCATAAATCTGTAAAATTCCTTTTTTTTTTTTCTTCTATATAGGAAAATTGTCAAGTCAGTATGCTTTTGATTAGTTTACAGCCTCTGCTGTTCTGAGTTGCTGCCCCTGGCCAGCTAACCTCCCTGCAGAACAGACTCAGCTATACTCAAGGTGCTACCACGCAAAGAAAAGTGTGAGGACAGCAGCTCTCATTCCTACACAACAGCGGGAATCCAAGTGCCCGTCTTGAACAGGAGCTTCATCTGCTTCTATCATACGGCTTTCATTCAGCATATTTATCAGCTCTAGGCATTACGCAAGCAAATTCCTGTCTGCAAGACCTTGGTTACTTTTCTCAGAATCCTTTTCATTTCCTCTAGGAAATTTAAAAAAATAGAAGAGAGAGTAAAAAGTATGCTATTCCTTTACTGCTTCAAAGCATATTTTTCAGCGAAGTAAAGGCATGCTTTGTCTGAACTTATTAATAATTCTGTACCGGATATGCTGCAAGATCCTTTATCTGAGACCGCAGAACATTTTGCCTTAAATCCTTAATTGGAAATGTTAATGAATCCCTGCAAGAAGGTTGAAACTCCCACATCCAAAGTTTCACGATCCTTTGGATATCAGAAGTTGCAGAAATGAAGTATTTCAGAAGCCTATAACCTTTTAAATTCCATCACATGTTTCTGAGCTCTCAGGTCCAGCTGAGTTTGCATTAATTTCAGTTTAAGCTGCAAGGACAGAATCTTTAGCAGCATCACCCACAATGTAGCTATACAGCACAGGGCTTCCCATCCTCCACAGCCTTTTATGGTTTGAATGTAGTTGCAAATCTAAGCAGATAACTGCAGCTGCCTTCAACTTTAATACAGAGGTCTAGCCAACAGAGCCTGCAGGTGCCAGCAGACAGTGATTCATTTAGATCCAAACAAGGGTATATTTGATCAAGTAAGGGGCTTTGCCTGTTGGGCAGTTCACTGTCTCTGGGCTACAGCTCGTTCCCTAGGCAGAGGACATCGTGGAGTGAAATACAGTATACTTTGCACATCGGAAGCTCTGGGTACGATCCTTGGCCCTTCCACAGGAAGCAAGATAGAGCGAGGCAAGTGAGACCATTGGTCTCTGCTGACCACACATTACTTTCTGCAGCCATTCATTCAGCTCGAGCCAAAATCCAACCGTGTGCCCCAAGGTCTTGCAGAATGGCCCAGGGCCTACAAATGGAGGGCCAGTTCTACATTTAAAAAAAAAATCTACAACACACAAGCTAGGCCCCAAACGCCTGCCCCAGTCAAGAAAGACAGCAACAGTTAACAACAGCATTCACGGAATATCCTTACATGAAGGGGAAATGCAGAGGTCAGAAATGCTGGACCTGCTGCCACCACAAATGGGAGGATGATCACTCGGCAGAGACTGCAGCTTCTCATCCCTATCATGAGAAGAATTGGTATCATTTTCTGGCCTGGAGGAGAAAGGAGAATGCAGGGCGATGAATGCTTGCAGTATAAAAAGTTGCATGAAAGTAAATTCTAATTTCTTCTAATTGGCTGTAATGACATAGAAGATACTGAAATTATTTTATATTTCATATTGCAAACTAGTGCTAAGGATATAATTTAACTGCATCACTGTAGCTTCCCCAAACCAGCTGATGTTAGATGTATTTGAAATTAACATTTCTTCCTACTGTAATAAAAGAGCTGAGGAAAGGAAAGTCATTGCAGTCTGAAGACCCTAAATACCAGCAGGACACTTAAAGAAACAAACTGTAGCAGTGGGACTGAGGTCTTCAATACTTAGCTTTTTCAAGGATTTAAGATTTGCTCCTGAATATTACAAGCATTTCACTTTACAGAGCAATATGCAATACAGATTTAAAACAAAGTACATAAGAAGTAGAACTGTTGATTTCCCAAGTGAGGTGGATCAGTAAGAAACTGAAGTAGCTGAAGGACAGAACAGGGACAAGATTACTTAGTAATAAGCAATAAAACACAGCAGAAGCAAGAGGGGTGTGAAAAGTGTGTGAAAAGAAGTTGGCAGACACAGAAAGTTTCCCTGCACAGTATCAGGTTAAGGTAACTAGACTATATTTTTAATTAGAAAGGATGCAGTCCAAGGAGGCAGTTAATGATTTCACAGCTAAATCAGTTTCTAAGGAAACAGCTATCAGAATATTAAGTAGTTCAGTCCCCCTTGAGTGATCTCAGCCAGTGAGTCTTGGGGTGGGGGGGAAAGCAGCTTTCCAGTATTTCCTGGCTTCCTCAGCTCCATACAGCAAGAGCTTGTCCATATAGGGATCCCATGACAATTCATCTGAAGTAACTAGAGCCTTGTCTGCACTGGGAAGTCATAGAAAAATTAGCATGGAATAGTTGCTACATGTGCAGCGGCTATTCTGCATTAATTTTCTGTGTGAATACCTCTATTCAGCACTAGAAATCTGTGCCCCGCCCCGCCCCCCCCCCCCCCCTTTCGTCGTCGCACCCACACACCACAAA